GGGGGCTTGCCTCCTTGATTAAGGTAAGTTTTAGGGTTAGGTTATTTTTTCCTGTTTCTCTTTCCTTTCAAAACACGTGTGAAATGAAATCTATAATTTTTCGCTTCATCCATTACCACGACACGGGCGTACGAAAAGAACAAAATACAAGTAGACCGGTACGGAGAAAGCCGCGCTTGTCCACGATGGCATTAAAAAAACGGAAGTCGTTTCTTTATGCAAATGAGGTAGAGTCGACTCAGAAGTTTACTTTTTTTTTTCTTTCTTTTTTTTCTTGAAGCCGATCGCATCAGTTTTCCTAATTTTGCTAAGGAACCTCGTCAAAATCCTTCGAAGTAAAAAATAATTGCGTTTTGGGAATTTGAAACGTGATACTCTCCCACTTTACTCAAGTAGGTTTATAAGAACTATTTTTACTCACTGGTAACACCAGCTGTTTGGCATAGTGGTAATGCTGTTTGCTTCCAACCCTTACTCACAGGTTCGATTCACGGTCACGCCACTGATTTTTCTAATCCTGTCATATAAATGTGTAAAATGCTTTCAGATGTTAACATGTCACTAATAATACCCATTTCAGGTGAAGAGACAAAGGAAGGCAAGACAACACAAAGTAACACAAAATCACTTTACTTTCTTTACTTCCAACCAAATACTAAACCATATCTTTTACAAAGCTCACTCAAAAGTCCCTTCTTTATTACATAGGTTGGGGTGGTCGCTCGTTACGGAAGTCCTTCCCTACACACTAAGTCCACATCACTAACTAAAACGTAAAACTAAAAGTGTTGTAATTCATTAGTTTTTTGAAGAAATCTTAAACTTAAAAATCCGAATTGCTGCTGCTAAGCTAAACATGAACTACGGAAATACAGGAAGGGGCAACCCCCAAAATCAAAATCTCCCTCAAATCCCATCAACAAGCAATCCCCCATCCCCTTCAAAAATTTGCGAAAGGCCACATATTATCATCATCATCATCCGGTGCCTTGCCGACTGGCGTGGGCGATCATGGACCTCCACTTCCATCTGTCTTTCGAAGCAGCAATGGTGTCTGTTGTTCTTGCTGCTCCCAGCCATGTTGTCATCTTGTCCAGTATCTTTTCCCTCTGTCTGCCTCTACCTCTCTTTCCATCAAACTTTCCTGTTGTTACAATGTTCTCTAATGCTTCTTTCCGCATTGTGTGTCCGAAAAAATTTGCCTGTCGTTTTCTTATATTCGTGATAAGTTGTTTTCTATAATTTGCTTCAACCAGGACTTCTTCATTTGTTTTTCTAGCTGTCCATGGGATACATAGCATGCGTCTCATGAACCACAACTCTGCCGCAACAATTGTTTTTTCCAGCTGTTTATTGATTGTCCATGCTTCGCACCCGTATAATAGGATTGGCTCGATGTAGCTTTTCATTACATATTATACATAGATCTATTCTCACCCCTGGTGAGAATAGCTCATGACCCGCTATTCTCACCTGCCTTGAACATTGACAGTGATGTAGATCTAGATCTGAAAACAGCGGTAAATCAAAGGGAAGCAAAATCCCTGATTTTTTTTTTCCGTCTTTTTTAGAAAATGGTAAATTTTTACTTTCTGACCCTCACACAAATGCACTGGCAGAACACAACATATATATAATTATTGACCTCTAAAAGCCTTTCAAATCAATTGTTTTCAAGAAATTATCAAAGCTAATTGCAGATCATCGAATAATATTTTGAAATACAGGGTGGGGGGTTAATGCCACGCCCCCAAAACCCCACAGATTTTTTAGGACAGGTGGGCTTGCCCCCCCCCTCTCCGAAACCTCCCATGTTGTTAAAACTAGTAAAATATTACGCAGTTGAGCCTATTGTTGTAATTATTATAATATAGTTCAACATGATAAATTTATAACTCTTTCCCAATCATAGTGTATGTTACAGTTACATCTCCTGTCTTTTGCAGGGTATTGATCCTGTAAATATTTGAAGCTGATTGAAGGATTTGTCTTACTTTCCTCTTTATCATTTGGGAGATGGGCTTATTTTATTACGGTAGTTTCATGAGTTGATGGGGTATTGGCGAGCCAATTAAAGCAAAACAAAAAGAGGGAAAAGAGTAGTATTTTAAATTGCAAATGTTAGAAAACTTCTGATATTTTGAAATTGTCTTAGAAATATTGCTCCTGAAATCTTTGCAAAACTTCATCATAATAGTATAGTTGTTTTTTTTCTGAAGTATAGCAGTTGTAGCGTTAACTTCTGAGATCCTTAGGAAGGCTTTAGAGTATTTCTTATTTTACCTTTCCTGCAGTCTCAATGGCAGCTGTTCCTGCTGAAGGCCAAGTTCCTTGGTCCAATAACAAGGATGACTATGAACTCCTGGCTGTTATAGGTAAAGTCTGTTAATGTTGTGATTCATTTACGTCTCTGTCAACGCAATTAGATAGTTTTAGGGGCAGGCAACTTCATTTCTGCATAAAAGGCCATTCTAGGTGTGGGGTAAACCCCTCAGAGAGACTGAGTCACTCAATAAAAAGGAACCCAAACTTATGTCCTTTTTTATGATACTATTTCCCACCCATTGTGATATTTCGTATCACAATAATCACTTGACTTTGAATCTCACATCGCAAGAAAGACTTTTGATTTTGAATTATTTGCCTGAGAAAGAATGTTACAAAACGTTGATACTATCAATTTGTGTCTCAGCCTGGTTGTAAAAATAACACTTTGTGTCACAGTCTTCTTTAAATAACAGCAATTGCTGTTTTTTTCTCAGCTTATGTATTATACACGAGTGTTAAATAAGTATTTACCCTAAAACTATGAAAGAAGCAAGCCAGAGAGTTTAATTTTGAGACTCACCATGCCTTTTCTCAACTTAGACATCCTGCAAATTTACACATTTTTTCATCTTTGTTTGACCTTCAAAAACCCTCGAGCATAATTTGACCTCAGATGGGGTTCAAGCCATTTCCTTCTCTGCAGATGTAACATCTTCATCACTATGTACAAGGTATCATTTAATAACTTTTTCAGATTTTGGAAAAGGAAATGTCCCAGAGTGCTATATTTGGTGAAAAGGGTGGGTGTGGGAGAATTTTTAGCCACAGTGGGATGCATTTTCTTTTGGTATTCAAGAACCATGATCACTAAAACTGCTCTCAAGTTTTCACAGTTCTTTGGAATTCCCCAAATTCCACATGCATCATTCTAGATCACATTCTCCAAGTTTCATCAATTTAAGACAATCCCCATGCGTGAAAAGTAGAAACAGCTATTTCCAGGAGAATTGTTTAGGAATAATGCAGAATGTTATTACTTTTGTATATGGAAGATTCGGTTGGGAATTGGGTTTTTTTTTCTTCTCTCTGACTCAATGCTGATGTTGTTTTTTAAATATCTAAAACAAGTACTTTGGAATGAAATACTCTATACATACCTTTTGTACTTAATTCTCTTCGTCTTTTAAATTCTTTTGTTGAAAAATCAAATGGGTAAATAAAGGAATCTTTGAAACTCTTCAGGTGCTGGTGCCACTGCTGCAGTCCAAGCTGCCATTTGCAAACCCCGCAATGAGAAATGTGCCATCAAGCGGATCAACCTGGAGAAATGCAATACGACTGTGGAGGAACTACTGGTTTGTGGTTTCCTATTGTGTGCGGGTGGTTACATTGGTCTCAATATTCCACTGTTTAGTGGATTTCCACTACCGCCATTTCCTCCGCTAAACCGCCACTTTCTGTACATAATCAAGACAGGGTGACTGCCAGGCCCTGGGAATTTGAAAAAAAAATCGCAGAGACCCGCGGATGCCCTGGGAATTTGAGGAACTCTGTAAACTGCCCCGGGAAAATACATAAAACTAAATCTGATAACGTCCGTTCATTTTTGCTGGTCACGATTGTGATATTCGTTCGGCTTTTCCCAGTCTGAGAGTACGTTTGAAGTGAAGAGGTGGCTATGGCGGCCGGCGGAAATGTATGTGTGATACCGGGGCATGATCGAGGAAATCAAGATCTACTTTCGCTTTCGTTACCACCCAGAAATTTACGGGTAATAGTTTGATAACGCGACATGAAGGTTGTGCATTGTAAACGCTGTGTCGCCATGAAAATAAACCAATATTTGTCCTGTGCTGTTTCTTGTGAAAAAAAGAAAAGAAAGTTATACAAGTGTCTTGTCGGGCTCGCCATCGTGACCGGTCAGTGTACCTGCGCATGTTCGCATCACATTGTGAGTAGCCTACCGGCGATTGTTGGAGTCGCCAAAGTTCATTCAAAGTCTAAGCGCTGCGAAGTATAGGACTCCAGAATGGTGGAGATTATTGATTAAAAATTTTTTTTTTAAGATACACTTGCGGGAGGCAACACAGAAGGACAAAAACTGAACTTGATAAGCAAAGAATTTTGATTATCATCATACTACTAGATTCTAGAGCTCTGTGCAAAGCGCGCGTTGGTGCAGGCCTTGTGTGGAATCGGGATCCGTCATACCCTGTAAGCCGTGTTTTTTAACTAAAGGGTTCACGTTTCATTCGGTGGATGATTGTATTCATATCTATATTTTAGCTTTCTGTTCAAAATTCACAGATTTTTAGTTTTCAGTGTCACTGTATCTTGCCCTCCAACAGCTCTTACAACTCTCACACTTAGTAGGTCTACTTGAGCCATTCACGTTATTACTCTACTTTGACTTTGAGCAATAATCTTTGTCTTTCATGTTTATTATAATGGATCATGACACCCAGACTGGTTCTTGACAGTCGATATTCTAGTTCTAGGCCCTTTCTCAGGCTCAAAAGAGGATTCATTTTTATATACCGTAATTTCTTTAGGCGAATATGATGAGGGGAAAGTATAAATATAAGTGAGAACCGACTGAAATACCAAATTCACACAATGCCCCAGTGCCACCCTGACATGTCGGTGTGTGTGTGTGTGTGTGTGTGTGTGTGTGTGTGTGTGTGTGTGTGTGTGAGCATGCACTGTCATTGTTATATAACATGCTCCTGGAAAATGAATGAGCCCTCCCTGGAAAATTGGGAAGCCGGGTTGGCAGTCACCCTGTCAAGATTGTAAATATTTGGTAAGTGACTCTTACTTGAAATTATCTTCCAAACCCTCAAATTGGTATGAAATAACCTTGCTTTGATAAATTGATAGTTTTTATTTCAGCATTTTAGGGTTAAACAGTATAATAATGGGTGTCTTGCGAAAATGGTCTTCTGCCGCGATCACACGGAAAGTCCGTTCTTTTTTTAGATTCTGAGTTGAGACCCATGTGGTTAGTGGATGCTGTGGTCTGATCTGCTTTTTTTTTTTTTTGAGTGCTGCTATTATAAAATCTGTTCATAGTTAAATGTTACTGGGTGTTTGTCATTACTTCTACAAAATAAAATTTTTACTCAGTTCCATAAATCTATTTTGTCCTCAGCTAGAGGTCTGAACTGAAAGGATAAAGTTATTCAGTTAGTTTCTTGAAGAAGAAAAACATTTTTCTTCGTGATCTTTATAAACATTATTAAACTTCATTTCAGTTTAGCAAACTCATTTTGACATGTCCCAATACATCACAATAGAATCATCGTTGGGCTTGAAAAAAATTTAATTTGAATTTAAAATCAAAGCTTTGTATTTGTAAAGAGTAAATATTTCTACTGAATAATTGTGAACAGCTTTTTTGAAGATGCAGTAAAGAGCAAAGATAGTTTGCATGAAGGGAGTGCTCCACACTCACAGGAGCTGAAATAGTTTAATATGTTGCCAGACCATATTTACCTTCTTTGTTTCAATTTGAGTCTGGATGGTTGCTTTTTTCATGTTGACGTTCGTTAAGATTCATTTGTATTTGCAATGATGTTTCAAACTCTTTCATATTTCTCCTGAGGTTGATGTTTGTTGGAGCATAGCGTGTCTTGGTTGCTAATTTTGATTGTTAGAGTGGATGGCGCTGAAAGTATGATGCCGTGTTATTGAAATTTTAAACCCTATTTATTTGTCAGCTGAGCAATATGTAGCCTGGGATGACTTAAATATTTTGTTGCAGAATTAGCTATGTATTGTTTTTATGGGTAGACAAATGCTCATTTTGAAAAAGGCAGTATTTTTTTAGAAGTTAATTTCGCATGGGCCTCTCCTGGCTTCTCTTGTGGAGATGTCTAAACTGATTTTTGCCATGTGACTTTTCCTCAGAAAGAGATCCGGGCCATGAGTCAGTGCAAACATGAGAATGTTGTCTGTTACCACACGTCATTTGTTGTGAAGGAAGAGCTCTGGGTCGTGATGAAACTGTGTGGAGGTGGTAAGGCCATCATGAGGCTGTTTTTTTTTCTTCTCATCAGCACCCATTACTCTTGTTATGTCTTTCCGTTACATGTTGTTGTGGCAGTTTTTGTATTTATATAACTTTTAAATAGTTTTTGTGCTACTAACGTATGTTCATAGACCATTTTATCCTTTTTACTTTTGTGACTTGTTAAATGATAAGAATATTGAGAAAAGATTAGTGTTTTGGATGAAAAATGCATTGTTTACTCAGGTGAAAATAGCTGAAGAGTCGTGGATGCTCTTGCTAGCCTCATTTTACTCTATTGCTTAGGAGGTCTTAACTCACATGCTGCCAGACCTGAGGAGTTTCGGGTAAAACAGGTAAAATGGATAAGTGTCACGACGCGATGGAATCAGGCGCTCGTCAATTTTTGGGCATATAGAGTTAATACAATCTTAAAGCTTGTTCATTTGTCTTGTATTTGTCTAAAAAAAAAGTACCCCTTTGTCTTGAATTGAAGTCGAGATATTTGTGATTGAAGGTGGTAGGATTTGAGAGGTAAAACTAGTGATAAAATAACTGCCAAAGTTTGGTGATTTCCAAAGCTTGAGAGTCCAGGGAAACTGGAAATTTTTCATTTTTCGTACCTTTAACGAACGTTATTCTATAACATCAACTCAGAAATGTGTTTTTAAAAGGACCTAAAAGTTGTTGAGCCAAAAATTTTAAAAATTTGGAAAAAATTACATAATGCTCAGAAAAATGCGGGTTCCTTTGATTTTATTGTTTTGACGAGTGCCTGATTTCACCTCTCTGCCTAACATATACAGGCAACCGCAATCACCGAAACTCCTTGGGTTTGAATTTCCTTTTTTTTTTTCTACCATTACCTGTTCTGAATTGAGGGCTGTCTTTTGAGGGGATGTATCTGCTGTGTTTTTAGAGTCGATTGAACATTGTTTGAGTTACTTCCCTTGATAACTGAATACAATTTCTAATTTATTTCCGGGACGGCTCGAAACACATTTTGGCAGGATGGCAAATGAACCTCTCAACCTTTAGACCCACGGGCTTTAGAGTTTACAGGGGTGGTGACGTAGCTTCTGACCATCATCTGTTTATTTCAACAATCTGACTAAAACTAAAGCAAAGACAGGGGAGTCAATCATAGGTGCCGGTACAACGTAGAATTTCTGAGAGAGCCATCGTCAAGAGAAGAGTTTAATGTAGCAGTTAAAAACAGGTTCCAAATGTTGGAAACACTAGGTGAGGATACCAGCATGGAAGAAACATAACAGGCAATAAAAGAGGCTGGACCTCTGTGTGTCAAGAGGTACTAGGGAAATAGAAATGTGAGCACAAGCCGTGGATATCTGCCACCACTCTGAGGAAGATAGAGGACAGGGAAAAGAAAAAGGATGTGGTAAACAGGAGCAAGACAAGAGCAGCCAAAGCAAAGGTCCAAGAAGAATATTCCAAAGCAATGAAAGATTTGAAAGTCAACATAGGGAAATAAAAAGAAACTATGTAGATGACCTGACGCGTGAAGCAGAGTAGGGCTGGATCCTGCTCGTCAAATTTGAGAGTGGCGATCCGCGATTCAGTCGGCTTCAATGAATCGCGAGTACGCGAGCACTCGTGGAGCTGTGGCGGAACACTGACTGAAACGGAACAGTGTCATATCAACGCCTCTTGGCGAGCGCGAGTCCCACTCTTGTTGTTCCGCCATCCTCTCCCTTTGTTGCGCTGCTCTATCTACTGACCTCAATTAGTGACCCCCATAAATTCCCCCCCCCCCAACCCCACCATTCGCTAAAACAATGGTTCCATAAAATTCCTTCTGTCTATTGGTTGGACCCCGTTCATTTTGTTTTTAGAGGGGGGTTGGACTATACCATCTTTTGTAAAATAAGGGGAGCCATACTAAGTGTTCCGTTCCGTTCTTGCGCTCATGACTCGACTCAGCAGTAGGTTAAACTCTTGGAGTAACTAGCCACAAGGTGGTGACAGCAACAGGGGAGTGAATCGGGAATCGTTTGGCGATACTGGTCCGCGTTCTGCTGAAGTGAATCGTGAATCGCGTTCCGCAGGAAAGAGTGGCGATTCAGTTCCGTTCTCGCGCTCGTGACCCAGCCCTAGGAAGCAGCAGGGGCAGGAAACATGCGAGGACTGTATGAAACCACCAAGAAACTTTCAGGCAGATACAGGAGCACAGATGTGCCAGTTAAGGATAAAGAGAGAAAGCTTCTCACAAGTCCAGACGAACAGAAAGAACGCTGGAAGGAGCATTTCAAAGAGCTACTGAACAGACCAAGGCCAGAAATTGTTGAATTCCACTAGCAGAGATTAATCTGGAGATGAGTTAAGAAAAGCCCAGTTTAAAGGAGATCAAGGAGGCGATAAGACACCAGAAAGCTGGCAAGGAATTCCTTCAGAAGTTCTCGAGGTGGATATCAACACTACGGCAGGGATTCTTCATGGAATTATTGGCAAGATATGGGACAGCGAAGAATTTTCACAGGATTGGAGAGAGGGATTGCTTGTGGAACTACCCAAGAAAGGAGACCTGCATGAGTGTATAAACTACAGAGGAATCTTGCTCCTGTCCATTCCTAGGAAGATTTTAAGTCGTACCATACTGGAAAGAGTGAAGGAAGATGTTGATGTAAAACTAAGAGAGGAGCCGGCAGGATTTCGTAAAAAGAGACCATGTACAGATCAGATTGCAACTTTGAGGATAATAGTTGAGCAGTCCACAGAGTGGAATTCTTCCCTGTACGTTAACTTTGTTGACGACAAGAAAGCTTTTTACAGCCTAGATAGGGACTCCATATGGAATCTCATGCGCCACTATGGAATACCTGACAAGTTTGTGAGATTGATCAAGAAGATGTATGAGGGAATGAGCTGCAGTGTCTTACTTGGAGGGCAGCGGACAGACTCGTTTGAAGTGAAAACAAGAGTGAGACAGGGATGCCTGCTATCGCCTTTTCTCTTTTTATTAGCAGCAGATTGGATAATGAGACAGACAACATCGGGACAACGCGGTGGCATTCAGTGGACCCTTTCCAGTCAGTTGGAAGACTTGGACTTTGCCGACGACTTGGCACTTCTTTCTCACAGTCGAGCCCAGATGCAACAGAAGACAGATCACCTCAGGACCTCCCGTAGTGTTGGACTCATATTCACTCAGAAAAAACTAAAGTTCTTCAAACGAATGCAGCCGACATTCCTATCACACTGCAAGGGGCACCATTGGTGGATGTTGAATCCTTCACCTACATGGGAAATGTCATCAACAAGGCAGGGGGAACAGATGAAGACATCAAGGTCAGAATCCAAAAGACAAGAGCTGCATTGATCATCCTCAGGAATATATGGATGTCTAAGGAACTGGGATTGAACATTAAGCTGAGGATCTTCAAAACAAATGTGAAGACTGTTCTACTGTATGGTTCAGAGACATGGAGGCTCACAGCATCAGCAGCAAGGAAACTGCAGAGCTTCATAAATGGATGTCTTAGTATGATAGTGGGGATCAAGTGGTTCGATCAAGCCACAATCAACTGGGAAAGAACAAGCCAAAGGCCAGTAAAGGAAGACATACAGGTGAAGAAACGGAAATGGATTGGGCGCACCCTGAGGAGATCCCCTACGAGCATCATCAGACAGGCTTTGACGTGGCATCCACAAGGAAAATATAAGAAAGGAAGACCGAAGATGACATAGAGGTGAGCAGTGCATGTGGAAATGGAAAAGGCGGGGACATCATGGAAACAGCTAAAGAAGGATGCACAGGACAGGTTTCGCTGGAGAAATGTTGTTGATGGCCTATGCTCCACTGGGAGTTAAAAAGGGCAAGAGAGAGAGAGAGAGAGACCCATGGGCTATGTCAAATCTCGTCTTTTTTTGTGCTGAAAAATTTGACAGCAATGCTGACACAAGTTGTGAGAGGTTTCAGAGTTAAGTAGAGGTTAAAGGAAGGCTGAATTGACGAGTAACAGTGAACTTATCGATCTAGATCTAAATCTGGTAGTTTCATTAAATAATTTCTATTTTTTCAAAATTTGGACACATTTGCAAAAGGTTATACAAAAATGACTGTTGCAAATGTCTTTAAATTGTCTGTTGCATTCTGCAGTATGTTTTATTGCTTTTTTTCTTGTCAAGTTTCATTGTTGGGTGGTGAAAAATAAGATCACAAAGATTTTTTGAAACTAAATGTCAGAACGCCTGGCATTTTTCGGAAGTTTAGTCATTTTGTCCTTGGCAGCGAGTGAGTTAAGAGCTGCTCATTTAGTTTTGATGACAATACATTATAACTTTGATGCTCTTTTGATTTGATTAGAAGTTTGCTTTTCTCTGAAATATGGGTCTTTTGCTTCCTGTTTATTGCTTAAAGTGTTTGCTTGAGGTCTTTGTAAGTATTTTTGTACAATATTCAATTTTCAAGGTCAGTTGTATCTTTGCTTGTGGTTTAAGCTTTCTCTATGAAAGCAAGAAGTTATCTGATTCCCTCTTTGAGACATGACATGGATAGCAGGTTATAAGATTCGAGAAGATAATACTTTATTGTCCCTGAGGGATATTTTTCTTGACTGTATAGGACGGTTAAAACATATGCAGGTATACATAAAGATTAAATTATATATTTCTACATAAAGATTAAATTATATATTTCTACATAAAGATTAAATTATATATTTCTCTCATTAGAATTTAATATGAAAAGAAAAGTAAAGCTGACAAAATGTACATATCACATCAGATGCATCATTCAACCACATGCAGGAAATTCATGACAAGACCTTTAGAGTTGTACAGATAGATACTTGAAAAAGCTATACACTTTGATGTTTATTTTTACTGTAGTCTTATACTAGGTGATAAGAAACTTCTTTTGTATCTTTGCTTTCTCTGTTTTTGGAGGTACTTATGTGCCATTGCGTGATCTTACAATGTGTGTGGAAAGGGGGTGTGATGGGTCGTTTATAATGCTGTTTATCTTTTTTATACTTGTGATCTTATACATTTCATCAATTCTAGTAAAGTCATATCCATAGATCATGCTAGCTTTCTTAAAGGTTCTGTCAAATTTTTCTTTACCTTTCACCATACAATTCCCAGCCCAGCAGTAAATACAAAAGAGTAACACGCTTTCAATCATAGAATTGTATAAAATGGACATGATAATATTATGTTGTCATTGCTTTGATTGTGAAGATATATAGCCGATTTTTTGTTGCTAGTGGTAAGCCATATTCTTGGAGAAGTTTTGAGTGTTGTTTGTGATGGTTTTTCGTCAGGTTCTATGTTGGATATCATCAAGATGAGGTTGCGTATGGGAAATGGGAAAAATGGCGTCCTGGATGAGGCTTGCATTGCTACTGTGTTAAAGGAGGTCTTGAAAGGGCTCGAGTACTTCCATGCGAGTGGACAGATTCACCGGTAAACTTGGAAAATTCTTCTTTTTCATGGATTACACACACTGTTTCGCACATCATACACCATGTTTTTCTGCATTTCTTAAAAGATTTCACGTTATGGTGAATTTCTGCTTTGAATTGATTCGTTTTCTCTCCTTCACTCGATATTAGAGTTGCCCTCATTACGAGGATGAAAACTCTCACAGAAGAACAACACTACAGCTGAAGAGTAAATGCTACTTCATTGCAATAATAGTGATGGATTTGTATAATTTAGACCAGAAATAGAACCCGATTGTTTTCAGGTCATAAGTTATGATTGCATTATTTTGAATAAAATGAAAGTGTCAGATAACTCAAATATTGGGTTAAATGTTAAACTTAGGTGAAATTATTAGCTTTCATGTGACGTTATACGAGTCAAGTTTTTCCCTTTTCAGTGGGTCTGACCAAACATGACTTTATATCTTGACTTTTGACTTCTTCCACAGAGACATCAAGGCTGGCAATATCCTCATTGGGGAAGATGGATCCGTGTTTGTTGCTGGTACAGATCTAATTTTTCTCTGCAAAGTGACTTGTATTGTCACAACAGATTTCTGTTTTTGGGAAAATTCCATTTTTTAATTAAAAAACTAAAAAAAAAATAATGTTCCTTGTGTATGATTAAGTATGGTATTCTGGGTGGAAATATTAGTTCATGATTTTAAGCGGGGTACTCCTTGTATGCTTTTTCTTTTCTCATTGTGATCTTTTTCCTCTTTTGGAAAACTTTCTACATCCAATGTTGGGACTGAAAAAGTAAAGTTTGCCAGACTTCTTTGAAATATTTAAAAGTGGTTTATCTGTTTTGTCTTGTATTTACTCAATTCTAACCTTTTTGACTAGCTCACTATTGATCTATTTATTAGTGCTTTTGTTTTATGAAAATTAATGGGGTTTTTTTTCAGATTTTGGTGTGAGTGCGTGGCTTGCCACTGGGAAAGACCTCACCCGAGACTCTGTTCGCCACACGTTTGTCGGGACACCGTGCTGGATGGCCCCGGAGGTCATGGAACAGGTGAGTTAAAGGACGAGCATGCTCTACGAGAGCATTATATTGTACAACTGATTCTTTCTTTGAGCTGCTCTCTGTTGTTTGTTCATATTGAGGTTTGGTTTGTGTCCTTTTCTTGGAGTGCTTGGAAGATTCTTTTCTTTTGTTCTTCCACTTTGTGAGATTTTCTTGATAACCTGTTCTTGTTACCACATCTAGATAAATAGAGTCTGTGGAGATGAGATCCAGTGATGGCAGCTGGAAATCTTTTTCCTTTGGAAAACTTTATATATCCAATCTTGGGATTGTCTGTGCTTTATTCCTGAATATATTTCCTTTTTATCAGGTGACTGGTTATGACTTCAAGGCTGACATTTGGAGCTTTGGCATCACAGCTATTGAATTGGCGACCGGAACTGCACCGTATCATAAGTTCCCACCAATGAAGGTAAAGACAAAATGCATGCGAACATTGTGTGTGGTGTATGTCTATTTTCCCATTATGACTAAATATATCCCAACACTGCTTATGTGCTCAGTAAGGTGCTTAGGAAACCAGATTGTTGCTTTTACATTCAATGTCTGCTCATTACACTGTGTTAAATTTATTCAGAGGAATTTTCAAATCTTTTTTGGGTGTCGTGTGATCTGAAGCAGAGGTGGGTTTAAAAAAAATTCAGTGCAACATTTCTATGTATTTAGTTATTTTGAACTTTTCCACAGATTGCTGCTGGTTAGAAGGCCTTCAAAAATTTTTAGTTTAACATTAGGACAAAAAAATCCCCTGCTTTATCTAGAATTTTATCTTCAACTACTTCCAGTGTAGGATATTTCGGGAGTTCAAATGATGAATTTTACAATTATTTGTCCAACCAGGGGGCCAGGAGGGAGGAGGCAGGGTTACAGCAGCCTGCCTCATAAATGGTATAAATTGGTTTAATGGTGGCGTAAAACATTCACACTGAGTACAAACCCTGATTTGGTAGGTGCTGATGCTGACGTTACAAAACGAGCCGCCCACTCTGGACACGAATGCAGAGGACAAGGATCAGTACAAGGCTTACAGCAGGATATTCCGCAGGATGATCAGCGAATGTCTGAAAAAGGATCCAGAAAAGAGGTAAATTTGTTGCTTGGGATGTAAGTCTTGTCTGTGTCAAGCTTGTTGCTTTGATAATTGTATGTGATTAGAGTACACCACCAGTAGGTTCTACTTCTGTTCTTTCTCTGTTTTTTCTGTCTGTCTGGTTTTCTTTCTTCCCTTCAATCAGTAGCTGTCATTATATTTATATACTTGTTTGAACTCAAACTCGTTGGGGTTCGTAGGTTCTGTGGTGTAGTTTGCTCCTTCTTTCCTGTCAAACATCTGTCATCCTCATTTCCCCTCCTTTTCTTTTTATGTTACTCTCTTGTGACACCTTTAATTTTCTGCACTTTTGTATGATATGTTAGTGGTGCAAATGCTGTAAAACTCTTTCCAAAACTAAAGTTAACTAATTCAAACAAAGATGTTGACAAATGGATTGTGAACATGTGTATTGTCTGTGTCAAGTATGTTACAGTAATAAATGGATGTGAATGTCCAGCACTTTGGTGACTTACAACTTTCCAATGTTTGTATTCTTCTGTTGCTTGTGGTCTGGATTAAATCATATTTGTGCTTGATATAGCAAACAGCTTGTGTACAGAGGAAGTTTAGTTTGAAATACACGTTGATCTACCTGTTGTTGAAGGAAGGGAAGACCTGTAAGGGATGAAAGCTGAATCATGAGATGTACTGATGGACTTTTATTTTGGTTCTAATTTTCAGACCAACATCTAAACAGCTTTTGAAACACGAATTCTTTAGGAAAGCTAAGGTAAGGAGAAAATTATATTGTTTTTATCCTTAAGGCCAGAATCATTCAAAATCTTTATTTTTAACAGTGAGTCACATTTATGCTTTGTGGGTAGATTTTCTGGGCTTAGTAGTGGTTATAAAAATGTTAACTTTTTCCTTATATTGATCTCAATTTCGTGGCTCTCTGTTGTGGCATTCTTATTAGAGGTGCACTAACTATCTGAGATGAAGGAAAGTTAAGTTAATTGTTTGACTTTTATACCCTTTGTTGAGAGTAGATTTTTAGTGATATTTTTTTTTGTTTTTCCAGGACAAGGCTTACCTCCAAAAGGTTCTTTTGTCAGATGGACCTACTGTGAGAGGGCAGAAGGTGAGTAGTTGGTGGATGGTGGTGTACTGTTGAGAAAATGAATGATAAGAGTTTTATTGTTGATTTATTATTCTAGAGCTGACAGAAATCTAGCTGGTTGATGTGTCTGGAGAGGATGGGAATATGACTTTGTTCATTTGTCATGGTGGGAATATGACTGTTGATTAATGTGTAAGGAGGGGATGGGAATGTGGTTTTTGATTAAAGTGTCTAGAGTTGATTGGAAATATGTCTATTAATTAGAATGTCTGTTTGTGATTGGAATTGTGATCATTGATAATTAATGTGTCACAGGTGAAACGTGTCCCGGGGTCTAGCGGGCGACTCCACAAAACGGAAGACGGAGGATGGGAGTGGTCGGATGATGAGTTCGACGTCACCTCTGAGGAAGGAAAGTTGGTGATGGAAGCCGAAAGGGTGAGCATCTACATAGACAGAAAGATTTGATTTCTTTTCTTGTCAAGAAAGTTTCTTTGTAAACTTTGTTGTCATTTTACTTTATAGTCATGAAAATACACACATAGTCCTGGAATTATCAACCGCTAAATTTGTATTCAGAATGCCAGTTTGTGGCAAAATTTCAGAAGCAGGATATTCTTTTGATTTGCAATTATTTAAAAAATATTTTCTTAGTTAAAAAAATTCTACATGTTGCATATTCAATTTGTTTCTTCCCTTTGAAGAAAGAATGTCTTTTTAAAGAAAGGAATCACTTAAATACTGAAGATAGCAGCTGAATCTAAATTTAGTTGATGGAAATGTAAACGATTTAAAACAATTTTGAGCTAGTCAATATGTACTTACTCTAAGAAAAGGGTGATATGGTTATTTGACAGTTGGAATGAGTCACTTTGTTGTAGTTATTGCATTTTCTTTTAAAAAGGGTGGCTTATTTTGATTTTGTATGTCATCAGTATTTAATATTGTTCACTAAAGATGTCTTTTCTTTTTTCATACTGTACGTTTTCAGTCTCCAAGGGTCAAATTGTCTCCTGATCAAGTGAGTGCTCTTTTTGCTGTTAGCCTATAATCATGTGTACACTTTCAATGGAATGTTGTTAGTATTGACCAGTAGTCTTCATGAGAACTCTAAGCTTGTTTTATTTCTCTGGAAATAAAGTTAGTTAGAATAGCAGACCAGAATGTCACGAAAATGTTGGTAGTTAAAAGGCTAGCTGAAATGTCCCAGTACTTATTTGTTATTGTTGATATCATTAATTTTATTTTATTATTTCGTTAAATTACTACTGTTTTATTACTATTACATTATTATTTTATTACTATTTATATCATAATTGTTGCTAGTGTCATCCGCATCATAGAAGTAATCCTTTTTATCATTATACATATTAGTATTACCAACATCATTATTGTCATGGTTAACATCATTATTGTGATTAACATTCTGTTGTTCGAATAAATTATGATTGTTGTATGCCTAGGTCCCGGAGCTGCCTCTACCTGTCCCGTCCGCCTCCACTGCCCCCCCTGTGGCTGAACCGGAAGAAAAGGTTCCCTCGGGGGAAACGGCTGCACCGAGTGACCCTGCTGTGCCAGCCCCGGTGGTGGATGAGAAGTCCAAGAACATGGTGTTGCGTCTCAGGTATGCCAGTTTTGTTTTTCACGACCTTGCTTTGTGTTGTGAACTCTTTCAGAATGAAAATTCTTTTGGGGTCGCATGCAAAGATGACATATTTTGTAGTGGGCTGATGTAAGGGGAGGAGGGTTCCATGTATATTTGTATTTAATTCACTCTGATTTATGCAGGAGCTGTAAAATTATGGTCTGAACCCCTTTGGACTTCTCTATGTTGCTCTCCGTTTGGTATGACATTTCCAAATCTGCCCAAATTGAACTTCTGTGGAGATAACTTTCATGGTAACAAACGAGTTGAAAAATTGGACAGGATTTTTTTTACACCTTCATGATAATTAGGAGACTTCTTTTTCTTCATGTTCCTCTTTACATGGACATCCCTGTCTCTAGTGTGAAAGCTGCTGCTCACTGCAGGCCCTCCAGGCCCCCATAGAGTTTAGAGCCCTTCTGCCTAGGGTTGGGCCAATATTTCTTTCTTGGTGCCTCTTGCAATGGGCAGGCTTGCAGCCAATGGTTCTCTGTTTGGTTGCCGGTTCAGCTCTGACACTGCTCTGAATTTCCAATCTTGGAACTTGGTGTAAAGGGGGTGTTTCAGTCGGTTGTGTCCTGTGCTAAGTCATGAACAACACAATCTGTCTTGACAAGTGAGGAGGTAGTTTTGGTCAAACTGGTTGTAGCATGGATGTTGTTCTACTTTGCTTGTAGTCCCCTTTTGATGATGGTTTTTACCTCCTTAAGGCTTGTTTTTTGTTCAGGCTGCCCTGATTGAGACCCTTCTGATGCTAAAGAATCAGCGGTTTCATTTTGTAACTAGTTACAGTGAGATGGTATCCACTGTAGCACAACTATGTGTTTTTTTGCAGAGATTTGCTATTGTTGTTGTCAGGTCATTTAGCTCGCTGTCTCTGTTTGATCGAATGGCTTGTTACGGAAAAGTCATCTGTTAGGAGGACCATTTTGAGAGAGGAGCGTGGGTCAGATCTTGAGGAGACTATCTGCATGACTACATTAACCCTTGAATTGTTATTTTCACATAGAAGTAAATATTTTAATACCAGTGTATGTAATGTGGTGTAATGGTTAGGCTCTTCACCTTACAAGGCAAGAGACCTTGGAAACAGTTTCATTCTCTGGAGGATGTTTTATCGACATAATAAATCTTTTTGCTAGGATACTCAGCGTCGATTGGCTCTGACTGGTAGAGTTGAAATGCCAACCCATATGATACTAATTGTGTGGAAAGGGCTATAAAAGTTTCCCTAAGCCGAGCGATCACAGACAATGACTGTCATGATTATGGCACATCTCTCTCACAATGTCTGCCTGCCACTCATGGCCTGCACTGGCTTTCCTCATCACCTTATTGGGCAATTCTGTCTCAAGCCTGGTCCCTTTACTTCTTTTTCTCCCTGGCAAAGCTGCAAATTCATGAAATAAAGAAGGAGGGCTTGCGATGTTTACTTCACTTTTGTCAGTTCCAAGTGAAATGAATCATATCTATGGCTGATGTGTTTCTGACACGAGCGCAGGAATGATCTTGCTACCACACAGAGAAGATGATTTGGAACATGCACTTACGAGTGATAATTAGTATTGGAAAAAATCGGGTTCGGCACTTCCAGCGTGCTTTAAAGTGTATTGTGTTTTTATCCAGCATGCTATTAGCTGGATACCACTGTATTTAATCCTTGAATAGTGAAACAATGTTGCGTTCCATTTTTCTCTTTTGTGATATACCTGCACGTGATAGTCTAATATCTTCTTGTATTTGAATTTGAGACTACTAATAGGCATTTGTTTTTTGTTTTTAAACACAGAAATGACAAGCGAGAACTCAATGACATTCGGTTTGACTTCAAGCCAGGACAAGGTATGGGTTGTTTTTTTTTGGGTTTTTTTTTGTAAGTGTTTTACGGCTCTCGCAACTGCATAAGGTCATATGAGCGTGCTGGACTTATTAAACTTTTTGAGATGATAGGAAGTTTTGAATTTTGTCTGAGTAGCGGCCGTAGCCTACTCTTATCAATTTTAGACCGCCAAGGGATCTTTAACGTGCGCAACTTGCACACAGGCCCTCCGAGATTTTTCGCCCTTGTCCGAGAAGACTAGGCGTAGATCTTTCTGACCAGAAGATCAGGGGTGTTGCTGAAAGACAACAGTAAGAAGGAACCAAGGAGTAGCGGTAGAAAGGCTGCAGATAGAGTCAGGAGCCCAGAGGAAGGGGGAAAGGAATGAGGGGATGGGGGCAGAAAGAGGAGATGAAAGCAGACGACAGAACATTGCTAGAGAGCAGGAAAGGAGGTGAAAGGAGTTGCTACCCGGATTCGAACCTGGGACCTTTGAATGAAAGGCCAACGCCTTAACCTCTAGGCCCCCAAGTATGGTAGTATGTGGCAAGTGATTACAAAACCAGACCTGCCAAGTACTCTGATAAAATGGGAAGCTTTTGATTTTTTTTTGCCTGTCGAAGAACCCTGATCGGATTTGCATAAAATCTGATTTTTGGTTCACTTCCTTGAATTCTGTTTCCCATCGGTCGTAAGCAACTAATTGTAAATGAGTTGAAAGCACATGAGCAATATGAGCAATTTATTATTTGTCTGACTTATGGTAATGTAAAAATACACATTTCTATTTGCGTTTATTTACTTATGTTTGCGATACTTCTGTTTATTTGCCACAGCTGGTTTGTAACATAATTTTAATCTACTGGGGTTTTTTAGACGTTCATTTCCCCCCCCCCCCCGAACTCTCAATTTTTAGAGAAGATTCTGAGAATAGGTCTTATTTTTCGTCATGAAGTGGTTTGCAGGTCTTTTGGATTTGCCATAGGTGCTGTTTGTTTTGTAATGATAGTGTCCAGAAATAAGAGAAATTTGGGGTTTGGTAAAAGTTTAATTTCACGCGAAACAAAAAAGTCAGAAAGCTATTTTATCAAGTGTCTGTCTGATTTAATGTTGTATTCCTCTCAGCCTGGGTTGATCCTGACTGTCGGGGGGAAAAAGCAGAGTGTCCCATGAGTTGCCTAAATTGTGTTTGAAAATCGTAGAACTTGATCAAGAGTAAAAAATGGGGAGTAACCATGCATTATGCCATTTTAAAAGAACATGTGAGTGGGAGCATGGCTGTTCACATTTGAAGTTCCACTGTTAAAGAGGTTGCACTTCTTGCTAGAATGCCGTCAGTCTATTTAATAACTCAAGTTGAAGTGAGTTTACAAAAGTGAAGCTAAAGCATGTAGATAAAGAACATATGTGAAGCATTTTTGACAAAATGAATTACTTCTTGAATTCAAGCCTTAAGGAAATATATACATCATGCTTATGGGTGAAGTTTTTACAATTTATGAGTATGAAATAATAAAAGAATATATTTTAAGAATATGGCATCAAAAGAAAATCTACAAATTTAATCCTTATGTCGATTTTTGGCCAATATCTCCATTTGTTGATTGCGAGAGGTAACTCATTTTGTCAGCACACCTCGCTTACATTTAGTGTTGCGAAGAAACAAAACAGCATAAATATAAAGAGAAACTCATCTGTTTGATTTTCTTGCTTTCCTTAGATACATCTGACAGTGTATCCAGAGAACTGGTGGAGGCAGGCTTGGTGGACGGGAGAGACATGATTGTGGGTGAGTAGGGACATAAAACGGCTGTCTGCGCTTCCTGTTGATGCCAATTTGAAAACTGTATAGCTTTATTACTTCTTTGGCTTCCTGATGCAGCTTTTAAGGACAATGCTTCTCCTGCCGTAAACTGACAAAATACCTTTAAAAAATTTTTCAGCAGTTTCGAGATAAAAAGGTTTTTTTCTCAGCGTATCCATTTAAAAAAGGTGTTTTTCAGAAATTTGAATTCTAATTTATTGAAAAACTCGTCAGTTTCACTTTTATTCAAACATTAAAAAAACCTTAAAAAAAAAACAATTAGGGTAATTGATCAGGCTTTTGATTTATCTGATAAAAGAATTTGGTGCCAAAAATGAAAAAAGATGTTTTGTCAGCTTTCAGTCATGTCGTTAACATTTTTGAAGAAAAATGTCTTGTTAAGGAAAGACATAATATTACTGGTGTCTGTGGTGTGAATGTAAGTTTTCTGCCATGCTCACGACAGATGTGAGTTGGATTCCTGAGCAGGGAAGATGGTGCTTTACTTTTTCTGTTGTTATGGAGCTTTGTATCCCACACAACCTGAGGTGGGCCAAAATAAACTGATGTGAAGCAGTCTGGCTTCTATATGATATAAATTATGTTATCAGGGATAGAAAACATTGTTAAATCACAGAAAATCTGTTTTTGTTGGAAAAGTAAAAACATTTTTTTAAAAACAACACATTTTTATGATATGAATTGCTACGCTGACAGTATAGATTCATATAAAAGCATATGTCGTTAGAGATATGTAGCACAACAACAGTTGGTTGCACATATTGCGACTAGCCCATTCTGGCAGACCCTAACTGTATTAACCTCATGTTCATTTGTCACCGAATGTAAAAATTAGACCAGTACAGCACAAACACTTTTGTATGATGTAGCGGAACCAGTTTTACTACCTTTCTGTTGGATTTCTTTAAAAAAAAAGAAAAACAGAGTGTTTACATTGTTCATTTAATGTACAAGAGGTTTTACTCTTACATACTCTTTTAATGTTTTGCATTAAAATTTTCTTTGATGCAGTTGCTGCCAATCTACAAAAGATGGTGGACAAGGCAGATTTGAACAGCTTAACATTTGCTCTGGTAAGTACTGATGTATCACAAGAACTGACAGATTGGAGATACTCTTCCATGATGTCAAGTGTATCCAGAGTTGTATCAGAATATGTGAAAACATATCTCGTCTTGAGTGGTAGCTGAAAAAATTATAAATTTCATGTGATCGTGCTTTGAAAACTCGTTTCGGTTTCTGCATCTATTTTCGCCTAGTTACATTTCCTGATTCCTCTCTGCTTAGAGTTGATGGAATCATTTATGTGGGAGGGGGTGGTTTCATATTCTTGAGAGCTTGATAAGCGAGTGGGTCACCATTTGTTTTTTTTGTTTTTTGTTTCTGGGCGTTTTTCTAATTTAATAGATCCTGGTTGGTGCAGGGTTGATGATACTCGTATGATGTTGCTTTGACTATATAAGGTACATCATTATGTCCACAGTAAGTTTCACATTATGTGTCAATCATATTTAATAGTGTTGATGAGGTTGTAAATTCTGTACTGTTATTTTATCTGGTATTAATACCCATGCTATTATTAACTTTTATGTCCTCATTGTCTTGGTCTCCTCCTTTAAGTCCTTTCCAAACAGGTGTATGGAGTCTCAAAATAGATGCGATAGAGGATCGATGGGGTTCTTTCTCTTTTAATATCCAGCGTTTGAACTTTTGAAAAGGAAATAAATTTAAGTAAAATATGTCATCCTTCTTATGCCTCATGCTTGATGTTTTATTGAGTAGCAGGAAGGAAAATGTAGGTCTAATTCTGGAAAAGCATTTTTGTGTTTTCATTTTCTGCAAAATGTTCAGTTGAAAGGTAACTGCGACTACAAATTTTTAATTGGCAGTTTATCTGCGTGACCATGGAAATATGAAGTCTGGTTCTTGATTCATTTAAGAAAGATTTAAAACTTTTTATTTTAGCTCCCCGTAAGTGGGGAGGTAAATTGATGATTTCTTTAGTTTGTTGCTTTTATCTTAATGTGCTGACCTTGCTTCATATTTTTTTTTATGGTGGTTCTTTTCAGAATTCCGGCTGTGGTCCCAACGAAGCCCCTGATGACAAAGCTTTAATAGGCTTTGCTCAACTCACTATCAGTGATTCCTAGTTGAAAACCCTTGTGGTAGTGATACTGTTCTTTATGAAATAACATAATAGAATTTACATAAACTTTATATTATATTTATGTATGTGTATATATGTATACATTCTCAAAAGGTTGGCTTTAAAAAACAATGCAAAATCTATGTTTTTTAAATGGTCAGTGTTATTGCTTTTCTAACTTGAATGCAATCTAAACTCGGTGTTTTTGTCAACTTGTTGATGTAATCAGATGAGGCAGTAGTACTGGAAAATTGACCAAGTTATGAACTCCGTGACTGGGAATGACAAGCTCATCACACCACAACATTAAGTCTTTACGCGCTGAACTTACAAACCATGGTTGAACGCTGCCATATTTCAACAGTTTTAGAAACCATACACACCCCAGTTTTGTAAAATGATACTGGCATCCCCTAAAACCAAATCACTTCAGAGTGTCAAATAGCAAAATGATGTGTAATTGTAGATTGATTTTTCAGGAATAAGATATGCATGCAGAAAAATGTTTAGATAAAAAAGTGATATGAGGGCCAAAAAGTAGTGACCCGACAAATGATTCAAACTAATCTTTCCCTCTGCATCTGATGAGTTTTTCTGAATGTCGTCTGTTTTTGTTACATAATTTTCCTGTCATCAAAGAAGCATAGCACAACACGCACAGCAAAATAAAAGAAAATTCCATTTGCATTCCTGATATGCACATATGTGATTTTTGAAAATGTCTGATTTTTTAACATATTTTTCATGTGTTGTCAGTCTGACTGTGCTGACCTTTTGAGAATGGTGTATATGTATTAACATATATATATATGTGCATATGTGAGGCCTCGTGGTGAAATCAGGTGCCCGTAAAAATAATGAAATCGAAGAAACCGTCATTTTTCTGCCTGTTTTGCAATTTGTATCAAATTTTTGTTTTTTGGCTCCACACCTTATATGTCTATGTTGAAACATATTTCTATGTGGATTTTACTGAAAGATGTTGATTAAAGTTAAAGGCACAAAAGATGAAAATTTTCAGTTCCCAAGGACTCTCAAGCTTTGGAAATCACCAAACTTTGCATCTATTTTCTCGCTTAATTTACCTCTGACACCAGGCGACCCCCGCCTTCTGCAATCGCAAATATCTCGACTTCTTTTCAAGATAGATGGGGGTTTTTTTTTCATCAAAAGCAAGACAAATTTACATGCTTTAAGATGAACCAATAACTCCACATGCTAAAAAACTGGCGAGCGCCCGATTCCACAGCGTCGTGACACATATTATGTTATATGGATGAATGGCCGCATCATAGTCTCTTTTGAAGCCACCCAGATACGTATACTCCAGAAGGCTTTTTATGCAAGTGCTTTAAGAATCTAACTAGATTTATTTTGCATTTGAAAAGACCGAATAACATTATTGATGTTCCTCTATCTTTGACTTGTGGAGAGTTGACTTGTGCATCTGTGATGTAAAAATATGCTCTTCTCCGTAAATTCCATAAAGGTGAGCTCAGTTCCTGCTTGTGAAAGATATTTTTGATTTGTCGAACATCCTCATTCTCATCTGTCTGCTGGGGATGTATAAAACACAGCAGGGACTGACTCATACATTCAGGTTCTAAACTGCATCGAACAGGGTGTAAAATATTTACAGCCAGTGTCTGTTCAGTTCTATTATGTGACCCTCAATCCCTCGTTCAATATGATTTGGCTCATGTTCTTGTAAGCCGTCACTGCTGCCTTTTGGTAAGGCAGAGCGAAAAATAATGTTTTACCACACTGTCTATTATTCAAGAGTGTTTAAATGACAAATGCACAAATGTTTCTCTCACCACTGCTTTTGTTAGAATGAGATTACGTCTGTTTTTATTTTTAAAGTGCTGTCTTAGTTTAACATTGTTTTGTTGAAAAGGAAGGGTTGTGAGACTGATGTAGTTTGTTATAGATATTAGCAAGGGGTTGATTTTTATTGTGTAGATAGTGATGATTTTGTAATGGCAATTTAAGTGGATTTCATGTTTGCTTCTGAAAAGACACCAACTTATTTTACTTTTAGAGAAAGACAGTATGTGCAGATGAATGTTCTGGAAATTTATGTGTGTTGAGGGGGGTTAAAACATTTACAACAAAAGCAAAGTTCTTATTCATATGTGTTAGTGGGAGATTGAAACATTAAGTTTAATTAACTAAAAAATCATACTTGCATTTTGACGCATGTCTGCACAAATATATTTCCTTTGTATTGAACATCTTTGGGGTATAGAAAGTATGGCTCCTGTTTTTTTTTTTCCCCTCATAGATCATTGTGTTGATGTGCACACCCCTAATAATACAGTGTCTTGCTAGGTGTGGAAGATATACTTTTTTCTCAACTTCTAGAAATCTTGTTATGTGTATATGTATTCCTCTAGAACACTCATATTTGTACTTACATGATAATACATATTTATATTGCCAATCATTTTGTCACAGAAACCCCTTGTTATGTTTTAAGTAGTGAGCGATTGACCATCACCAAAGTTTATGCATGATGTAATTGAATGCGAGATCATGACATTGTTCTCTCCTCCTCATGACTGCCACTTTGAGTTTGCTGTGTTCTTTTTCCATGTGTGAAGAATGTTGATGTAGTGTGTTCAGTTTGTATTTAAGAGGAGAGAGGAGGAGTTAAAAGAGATTGTTGAATTTTTAAAGACTCAAATGAGGCTATTTTGAAAATGTTGACGTCTGTTTTGCCTATTTTGAACTCTTGACTGAGATTTTTATGGGAGGCCAGGCTCTGCTCCTCTAACACTACCACTACTTATTCTCTTGTTTTCAGTAAAGCATTTCTCAAATGAGAACTCAATCAAAAACTCAGGGGACTTGGGGAAAGTGTAACAGCCAAGTGCTGAGCAGGGCATCAGGAAGCGAATCGAGAGAAAGTCTTCCTGATGGAAGAGTCATAATAGGGTCTTGGACTTTGCACCCTTGACTTGCTTTATAGATATTGCAAAGACATATATGTGTAGTGTTTGGGTGGCTTTTGATGATAATTTGTATATGATCATAGGATATTGTTTTTTCACTCTGTTCTCCTTTGTTAGTTTGGTGTAGAGATATTAAAGTCTCAGCACGTTTAAAGAGGATCTGCACGATTTATACTTACGTTGGTGGAAGAAAGACATTTATTAACCTTGGTGGAAGAAAGACAGTACATTTATAAGTAAATTGTAGTGTTTTAATGCCCGTCTTGATGCTGATTTTCAACCCTATTAAGATGTATAATCTTTGTGTGATAAGAGTTGAGATATTATTATAGACGGTATTCTTCAATGACTTTCTGTAAAACTGTTCTTTGTGATAGTGGTCATAACATTTTAAAAGTATTTTGTGCATGTCTCGAGTATGCCATTGTACTCAGTTGTTGAACTAAATTGCAGAAAATAACTTTCATAACTAGCAATGAGGATAAAAATTTAGCTTGATGCTTTAGTACTGGATGTAGTGAGATGTGTTGTGTACGTGTTTCATGCTAATATCTCTACTCCCAATCAGAAGCCCTCCATATTCTCCTGTTTGTGTTTGAGCATATTTTCCCCCAATATCTCTGTTCAAGTACTTTGTTTACTCTGTTTGTATCGTGCAGGGTTCTGTTGCTTTGAATCTTCAGTGAGGCATTCTAGAACTTGAGTTGTTGTTTGAGCAAGTTATTTTTCTTCATACATACGCTGTGCTCTATCCAATCAGAGACAGACAATAAATCGGAAGTTCTGCCTCTTAGATAAGCCCACTGTGTTTAAAGGGTTGGCAAGCACCACACCCTGCCCTATTTTTGTTCCTGAGCATTAACGGTGTAAATATTCCTTCCACTCTGGTTTTGGTGCTCCTGTTTCTGTGATTGCGCTGACTTCAGATGATGTATACATTGTTATTATTATTGTTGTTCTCTTTTTATAATATTTTTGTTGTATAGTGAAGTTCTTGGGGGGAAGAAATGCAAAACTAAACCGTTTCATTTTTTAAAACAAGTTTTCAGGTAGGCGTAAAAGCCTTGGTGAAGGGGCTTAAGTAGTGCTGCTTTTCGTGTTTAAACTTTTCAATCTGTATATTATTTATTATTAGAATTTATCCCAGTTTTTACAGTTATTTAAAGGATTTTCCGCATCTGGTATAATGTTTGGGCTCTTCGCATTTCCCTCAAAAGATTCTTACAATGGGAAGATATTTTATTGCGTATTTGTCTTTCTGCTTGTAATACTAATGTATGTATCTCACATACAGACAGGCAGGGTAGAAACAGCGCTCCCACTGAATGACCCAGCATTGTGTTGACAGGGGCATAATCCTCATACAACGACAGACTGGTTTAACGGAAAGATATGGAGAATCTCAGGACTGGCTTTTTGATGTGTAGTTAGATTGTCATCGAAGTGAGCAACTGGTCCCATAATATACCATAACTTTCAGACCCAGTGCACAACATCTAGGACATGACTGTATACTGGTGATTGATTTGATTTAAAACACAAAAAAGAAAGGCTAGTTATGTTTTAATCTTTTTATAATTTTTTTTGTTTTCTTTTTTCCTTGGTATACATTCATTCTGTATACCTAAAACATGCCATATCATGCAATGCAAAGGAAATAACAATCAGTCCAAGTGCTCAAGTAGATAGTGTTATTTATTCAAATTGAAGAGAAACCATGCACTTTCAACAGCGTGCTGATCTGGTTTCTGTCTTCATGCTATGAATATACATGAATCAAACTCTCCTTTCACTAGATTATTCCAGCTTTGTTTTGTAAGAGTATCTGATAGCTACAGTCGTCTGTAGATTTGTCAGCTTTTTTAAAAACTTACGTGAGGCATCGGGATGAAATCGGGCACTCGTCAAAATAATTAAATCGAAGACAGCAGCATCTTTTTTCACAGGTTTGGCAATTTTTATCAAATTTTTGTTTTTGGCTCCTCAGTTTACATGTCCCATTTAGAAACACATTTCTGTGTGGATTTTATTGAAGAAAATTGATTAAATGACTACAAAATGTGAATTTTCAGTTTCCAAAGACTCAGTCACTCTCAAGCTATGGAAGTGGCCAAACATTGGCGGCCATTTTTACCGCTGGAACAAGGCACCCCCAACCTCCTCAAATCGTAAATATCTCGGTTCCTATTCAAGATAAGGAAGTATTTTTAATTGAAATCGAGACAAATGAACAATCCCTGAGGCAATGCCCAAAAATTGACGAGTGCCAGATTCCACCGCATCGTGACACATTATGTATGAATAGATGTGTCTACTGATTCCCATTGGAGATACATGTACATATGTCTTAGCCTTTGTATTTCAAATAAAACTAATGTAAAACTTTCTTCTGCTTGTCACGCTTGACTTAGTTTGAAATTTGCTCTGTGGAGAGAGTCACAAATTCAAAGAGACATGCGCAACAGTCAGGCAGACAGACTCATGTACGCACCTATTTCTCTTTGTGTACATGCATGTGTGTGTGGGTGTGTGTGCGTGTGTGTTTTCCCCCTCCACCCCCTCTACTCTCCTTTCTCAGTTCTGTCTGCCTCTGCTTTTGTCTGTCTGTCTTGTCTCTTATACTGTGTATGAATGTGTTTCTCTCTCTCTCTCTCTCTCTCTCTCTCTCTCTCTCTCTCTCTCTCTCTCTCTCTCTCTCTCTCTCTCTCTCTCCCCCCCTCTCTCTCTCAGTCTTTCATCCAGATGCGACACCTACTTTGATTATCTTCCTCGTCTTCTTCTTTCTTTCTTCTTCTATCTCTTCTTCTTCTATCTCTTCTTCCCCCGCCGACCTCATGTTTAGCTAAACTAAAGGTCGTCTATCCCACAGAGTGACGCCTCGTTGACCTTGAGGTGCGACCCGTG